AATGCACGACCTCGAGCATTTAAAGGAGTAAAGAGTGTCCCGTTATATGTCATGCAGATAAAAGTACACTGATGACACAAGTGTTAATGAATGATTGGTTTGAAAATCATTTCATACCCAAAACTCTGCAGAATTCAATTGGTTTACCTGATAATGCAAAAATTGTCCTGATTGTATAGACAACTGTTTGGCTCGTACTTCACTTAAAGTTTTAGTGGAAAATTCTTTAAATTACATGTCAATTAATTAAATTACATGTCAATCATTCAGCCTACAGAATTCAAGAATTGTTTTTAATATTTTAGTGTAAAATCTGCTTTGTGGGAGGATGTGTCTCCAGATACTTAAAAACATGGCCAGGTAGCATATTTCATGGTGAAGTTGATGAATATGATAGCTACCAATCTGAAGATTTTCAGAAATCGCAAACCAAAGGTTAAATTTTCCAATTAATGGAATTTTTAAAGCAGTGTGGAGAAGCGGTAATAAATTACGACGATATAGCAGAAATTTTTCATTACAATGGCATTGCTCCAATTATCAATCAATTAACTGATGGCAAAATCCGTAGCATGGTTCTATATCCAGAAAATACGACTTCCGATAAAGAAGAAAGTGAGAGATAAGTTATTGAAAACGAAAAAATTTCAATTGACAAATTAGTCAGAATGCTTGACACACCAATTACAGAATTTGAACAATGGAACTTTGTAACTAAGAAATTATGTCTGTCTACAGAATTAAAGAGAAAATATTAGAAAAAAAAAAAAAAAAAAAAAAAACTTAAACATCTTACATTGAAAGAAATGCTTAATAAAGTAAGCAAATAAATATTTAAGTTTTTTTTTGGTAAATTTTGTTACCAAAATGCTTTATTATTTCATATTTTTAATTTTATAATTTCTATATACCACCTTACAAGCATTAAACTGATGATCTAATATCCAGATCTCCAGTCTGGATCTTGGACTTTGTACTGTATATCACTATATTACCACTTATTTATACGAAGTACTGAATTTAATTTCACAAGACTTAGATTATAACCAACTGACTGAATCGAACCCTCAAAGTTGCCTATGTGCTTTCTGCAAGATCTTTCAGAGCATAAGAAATTATTCTCTAGAGCCCTTGTGAAAAGGACATTCTGCGCTGGCAACCTTACTTTTATACAGGGTCAAGAAAAACAAACCACACCAAAAAATATAGGTAATATTTACTTCTGGGTTTTTTTTTTGTTTAATTAATGCTAAATTTCTTAATTCAATTAATTATGAAGCTTTTATAATATTTTGCAGCACTCTCGTGAAGAGGCTGCAGCTTCCTGGGATGCCATGACATTTGGGAATCACTTATTTAAACAAATGTATCCCAATGTGGATGCTACTGTTCCCCCTCCCAAGTGGACCTAAAAGAGATTAAAAGGGATGTTATGATCTGAAGTGTAGTTGGGTAGACAGTGAGAATCAAATGGGCAGTAAGAACATCCTTTTAAAACTTGGTTACTTAAATATTAAAAAAAAAAAAAAACTTTTAAATATTTGCTTAGTTATACAAATATTACACATTTACCCATATTTGCAAAATGATATCATGTCAGTTGATCCTTTATGCAGGTTGATCGAAATTTAACTCAAGTTCATTTATTCCAAAGAAACAAAAATTGCAATCAGTCCAAAATTCTTAAAAAATGACTGCAAGTCCATAGTTGCATTGATATCCAGTAAATTCAAGTAGTATGCTTTTTCAGAATATACTACTGCATGGGTATGGGAGAAATCTAGTTTTAGTTAATCTAGTCATGTTTTCTCAGATTTATTGCTATAAATGCTCTGAGAAATCTTTAATAATTCATTCTTTTTCTATACTTATGTGATGAGTTTTATTAATTATGCAAAATATTTCATACAGGTGTTTGTTTTTAATTTAGCACTTCTCAGAGCCATCTGTAGCTCATTCTATCAACTGGAATGCCATAAAATTTGGTAGGAGAACTAATGGTGACATAAAAAAAAATTCCATGAAAAAATATAGTTTTAAAAGTTACCAGTTGGAGAAGATATGGCATTGTTTTTGTCTACACAGCTGAAAACTAGAAAGTTCAGTAAAAAAGGAGAAATTTACCACTTTAATGCAGCAAATGAACTGTCACAAAGGGTTATGGAGATGATATATCAGGGCACCATATCTTGTAATTCAATAAAAGAGCTTCATTGGTGAGGGTAGGCCTCTTACAATATGACCACCTTCTCATGGATCATGCATTCCATCCTGTACACAATGTTTTTGACATTATGTGCTGGAATAGAATGCTCAGCAATTACATCAATTAATTTGATAATATATGACCAGGAATGCTCAGCACAGCCTGTGATATGTTGTCTTTTAAGGTTGTCCAAGTAGAACCTTTAAAGTTGAGACCCAAGAACTTCAAATAATCCTATAGGAAAAAATCACATGATCCAGGGAGCAAGGTGGCCAGGAAGTGGAAGGAAGCGACTTATGATCTTTTCTTCTGTAAAGTGGTGGTGCAACAGCTGCTATACCAATAGACTAGTATGTGATGGTTCTCCATTTTGCATAGACGTTACCTGATACAGCAACTGCTGCTGCTAAAGTAGAGGAATAACAAATTAGTCAGCATATCATGATACCTTTGCAGAGTAATGATACATGAGTGGCTTCCTGTTAGAATAATGTTCTCAAAAAGAATAGTCCGCTGATGAAATATGCTGTGAAGCCACACCAAATAGCGACTTCTGCGAAATGCAATGGGATTTCTGAAATGCAAGAAGTTGTTTGGATGCCTGAGTTTGAGAACTGTGAGCATTAACTGTCCCATTTAAGTGAAAATGAGCCTCATCTTCCCACAGAATTCTCCACAGCCAAGCATTCTTGACCTTCATCCTGACAAGAAATATCAGAGCAAATGCTTACCCATTTATCATAATCGTTGTGTTTAATTCCTGCATGAGGCTTACCTTGTATGGGTAGAAGTGAAGAATTTTTGACAAGATTTGCCATGCTGCTGAAAGATTGAAATCCAGTTGTTGTGCTATTCCTGGGACATTGCTACTACTAGCAATGGTGTCATGGGTGTCGTCAGTGATCACTGTCGGCACTTCAGTAACTGTAATATACTTCAGGCCCTTCATAGCATATCAAATTTTTTAACAGAATTCTCAAGGTATTTGTTAACACCTCCTTAATAGCAAGTAGTTCCTTGCATCAAAGCATCAATTAATTTGATGGTGATGCTTCCAAAAGAATTGCAAACTATGCTTTTTGGCAATATTTTTTGCAACTCTCACTAGGTAACTGATGTTGGATTATCTTCAAATCATAGAATTGATGTCTGATGTTGTCCTCCTCAGCATCTCAGAAACATTCAAACAACAGTGTGAAAGAGACTAATTGATGGGGTGCATCCCAGGTCAGTAATCCTTGAGCTGTCGTGGGTTATAATAATTGTGTGAAGTGCATTATATTACTGAAATTAATCACCACTTTGAGGCTAAACATTGAACATGAAAGAAAAGTGATTAGCCACCATATTTTGATAGCACTATTATATAAAAACTCCTTCTGTAGAAGACAGTAAGTTAAAAGGTGCTACTATTTTTTAATAAGAAAGCTTCCTTTACTGTCACAGTCACTTGTGCCTTGGACTCAGCAGAATACTCTATAGCTGCTATAAGTGCCTTTTCGGTATCCTCCCTTTAACTCGAGTGATACATAAGATTGATCTCATTGTTTAACTTATTGTCACTGTGCAGAGATATAAATAAGTTAATAATATTAAGGAAGGGGAAAATATCTTGCAACATTCACTCAGTCATGGCATTTAAGCAGGATGCCATCATGTGCAGCCAATTTAGTGCAGTCTGTAACATTTGATAAACAGTTCACTAGCCTTTTTTTTTTTTTTTTTGAGGGAAGGGGGCTTTTATGTTCGTTTATGTCTGCATTATCAACGCCCGTTGATTAGTTTCTATTAGTTATTAGTGCCAGAACTAATGATCAGTGCCACAAGAGACATTTTAAAATTTGGCATTAATATTGTTCCTAGATTTCATGTAGACTGTGTAACGTGTTTTTCTTTTGAACTCCTACAAATTGGCAAGAGTTGTATGACATCATTTTAAAAATAAATGTGGTGGGTTTTTTTTATTTTATTTATTTTATTTATTTTTTTTTTTATTTCCTCTCCACAATATTTCCTTTTCAGAATCAATGATAGGCTTGAAAGAATTTTTTTAATTAAGGATTCATAATTTAAGTCCATTTAAAATTAATATTTAAAAAAGATGGGTTTTAATTTGAAAAAAAGGTCATAATAACATCAACAAATTTACAAAAGTTTTGAGAGCATAATAATAATAATAATAATAAAATAATTTTAATGTGTACTGTAATTTTGTATAAAAAACTTGATTATGTGTTTTGTTATGATAAAAAATATTACATATTTGTGATTAAAAGATACAATATCATTACATGTTTAGAACTGCTTTAAAATACCAAAATTATACAACAACCTAGAAAGGTGTAGTATGAAATAAAGATATGGCTTCGCCAGAGTTCATAGTGATATACTGCCATTCATGGGCAAAATTAATTGTTTAAAATTATTTGTTATAATTGCTACAATATGTACAAACAAGAGAAAGAAGTTTTCAGTTAAAAATTTTAAAAAATTCTGTATTAAATGTAGGATTAATTCTTACCTATCAAAGAAGTAGATGAATTAATTTTAAAAAAAAAATCCTAACAGAAGAAACATAAAGACAATTTGCCGCAATTTTCTATTAGTTTTCTTCTGTTAGGGCCCGTAATGCGTGTTAATTCAATTCTAGCTAAAAAAATTTAAATTAATTGAAATGGCACATAGAAGTTGAAAATTGTTGGAAACAAAGCTAGTTCCAGTATGCTTATATTTTATCACAATTTTCATTATTTACTGTTTTGCTGCATTATTATTATTATTATTATTATTATAGGAAATGAGTGAAGCTCTGAGAAGAAATGTTGGTGTGCGTGATGAACTTAATATTGAGAGAGTGGATGGTGTTGGAACTAGTAGGTATGATTGAAAATTCTTGTACACAATACTGTGAACATTTTCATTTAAAATTTATTCTAAACATAAATTTTTCTTTTATGCTTAGTATTAGTAATTGTAAATGAAATGTCTAGTTGGAAGAACTGCCTCAGGATTCTCTGTTACTATTTAGAGGGAATGTTAGATGTAGATATGAAACAAATAGAATTCCATAGCTTTTCTGATGGCTGGTCTGAAAGCTTTTGGATGTGTAGTATATCTAAAAATAGTTTTGAACAACAGAACTTTTAAAATAATTTTTGTTGCTTCCAAGAGTAGAGTTGCTTCTTTGAAATCACTTACCCTTCCTAGATTAGAGCTCTTTGGTGCACTTTTGTCTGCCAGGTTGAATGATAAAATTGCAAAATATTTAAAATAAAAAGTAATCACCTTACATTAAACTGATTCACAAGTAATATATATTTGGATTAGCAGATCCCATGAAAGCTTTAAACCATTCATAGAAAACACAATTTATGAAATTCAGAAACTTCATAAAAGCAGTAACTGATATTATTGCCCTCTGAAAGACAACCCTTCCGACATTAGTCACAATGAACTACTGTTAGTAACTTAAGAAATAGCCAACTTTGTTGGCATGAACCACTTTTACAGTTTTCAAAATTTTGGCCCTCTGGTAATGTAGACACTATTGAATAAGACAATTTAGAATATGGAAAGAAGTTTACTAGTGCTCAACAATATAAATGTATTGCATAAGAAATAGACAGATTATTTGATATTTTTAAGTACAGCAATCTTATGAAAATATTAAAAATAACAGTTTGGAGTAAACACTTTACTTTGAAAACTATGAAAATACAAACTTAACAGATATTCCCTCTAGCTAAAGAACTTAAAGATGCAGAAGAATTTTTTATCCAAAGAATTCGAAGAATGGTTCCAGCCGAAAACGTCATTGAGAAAACAATGCAAGGCAAAAACCTTGTAGAGAAAAGAAAAGCAAAGAGAAAAGGTCATGGTGCAAGATATTGTCATCGAAAATTAAGCGGTTAAAAAATTTTACAGTTTAAAAACATCGTCGAAAATATTGTGGTAGAAAATAAAGCACCTACAAATCACTACATGATGATAGCATCGCCCACATGCATTTTTCAGGTTTTATAAGCTGTAAATGCATATTTGCATAAAGATTTGGAAGTGCAGAAAATTTGAGCAACATTTTAAGAATAAGGGGAATTAAAACAAGATATGATTTTCATCAAAACAATATCAGATTAACAAATGTGAAAGGAAGTAATTTGATAATTAACTAAACAATTTTTATAAAGGTAACCTCACACAATTATTTATCTTCCTTTGTTTAAACATTTTTAGGCTGTATTTTGCATGAAAAATTATGAGTAAAGCTTTATAAAAAAGATTAATTAATGACTTTTGTTAATTAACTATATAAATTTAAAATTATGTTAAATGCTATTAGTTGCATCAATTTGTACTCATTTTCAATTTTACGTTTCCTTCTTACTTTTCAGCAAAAATTTATTAGTTCATTCCAAAGTATGAAATATAAAAGTAAAAATATCCTGCTTTCATTATGCAAAAATGGATTTACAGCTTTTAAAACCTGAAAAACGCATGTGTGTGTGTTATTGTCATGCGATGATTTATAGGTACTTTATTTTTTACCACAATCGGTTCGCTGATGATGTTTTTAAACTGTGAAGTTTTTGAACCAGTTTATTTTTGATGATGATATTTTGTACCACATCGTTTTCACTTTGCATTTTTTTCTCCTTGACGTTTCCATCCACGATATTTTCAGCAGGCTTCCAAAGAGTAGCATATAAATTCAGAGATTTCTGCATTACAGACTGATAAAAACATATATATGAAGTCGTCCATGTTTTCCGTTTTCCCCTTTCCTTGACAATAAAGGAAAATTGCAGCTTGGGGCAAGATCAAAATTTTCTGATTTCACCAACAAAGGAAAAACATCCTATCCTCCTGCCTCAAAATGTAAAATTTACAGAATTAGTTATTTAAAGAGAACATGATAAGTTCATACATTGTGGAATTAAGCCGCTTTGTTCATTGAGGAGTTCAGCCTTCGAAAAGAATACTGGATACCAAAAAGCCATCAACTTGCGAAGAAAATTCTTAGAAACTGTTTATTTGTAGAAAATATGAAGCAAAAACTCTTCAACAGATGACACAGCTACCAAAAGACAGAATAGTTGAAATTTTAACATTTCTTGTCTCTGAAATTGACTTTTGCTGGTCTGATTTTGGTTAGATCAGTAACCAGGATTGATAAATCATGTAATAGCTCTTTTCACCTGTGCTATGACTAGAGCTCATCATTTAGAGCTGGTATCCAATAACAGAAAACTTCTTGATGGCTTTCAGATGATTCATGTCAAGTCATAGACATTGTAGAATGCTGAAAAATTCAGTATTACTTATATATATATATATATATTATGTTCGTGTTTCTTATAACAGATATTGGGTTACCTGAAATCGATTATATTGACTTAAAAATTTTTCTAAATATTTTGCTTCCATTATGTTTATAAGTAATCATATTTACAAAACTTTGTATTTTTTATTCCTGTTAGCCGAAGAGCAGCTCTGATGACAGGAATAGGAAAAAATGCCAATCATAAGAATGAAGGGGTTGTTTTTGAAAGTCCAAAACCTAAAACTGAAGTTGTTTCAAATGCATCTGAGAAAGGAGAAGACTATAATGCTCACAAAAAGTAAGTGTTTACTGTTTCGTTTTCCTGTAATTTTTAACCTAGTAAATCAATAAGCAAAAGGAACATGTTTGAAATTTTACATTTTTAATTTATTTCTTGAAAAACTTTTACAATGTTTTATGACAAAAGAATTATCTAAAGCTAGGTCTAGTTTAAGTTTCAGACCACAATTCTGTAGGGGAATTTTCATGGTTTTTGCCATGTGTAATGAGGATATGAAACAGTTTCTATTAACACGTTGAATGCCATGGAGGTCAGTGGTGACCTGCACTGAGTTTGTTCACAGTGTCATGGGGGTCACCGGTGACTGGTGAAACCAAAATTACTAGAAACTTTTAAATTGAGTAGATTTTCAATGGTTTTAAAATTTTCAATATTATCACAACTACTAAAATGGTGTGAAGAAATTAGTGCAATATAGAACATACAAAAATAATCTTATTTATAAATATAACATGTAAGCTTAAATATTGTTACGGATTTGATATTTAAATAACTAATGTTAGTTGAATTATAAATTAAATTGTTTTATTCCCCGTGCAGTGTAGCGCATGATGAATATTAAAGGAAAGCTAAGCTGGAAAATTAAAAATACAAGAGTATGTGCATTTAACATTTAATAAATAAATATCTCTTTTTGATTTCGAGAAAATTCCAGAAATTTCTCGTACGCGATTTTAAATCTTATAAAAGGAGGTAAACCTCTCAGTTCGTGTGAGTTTAGTTTTGTTTGTTGTTGTTTTAAGAGTTTGTTTAGAAAACTGCTGTTGTTTGTTGACTGTGGCGAATTCACGGATTAGCTTTCTTTAGCTGTTTTGAATTGAGTTCTCTTGAATGTTTGAGTAGTTAAAAGATAACTACTGTGAGGTATTGTAATACTGAACGAATATCTGAGAAAAATTAAGCATTTTTGTTGTGATAATAATAAATTTTGTTAATTTTTTTCATCAGACTTGTGCATTCAATTCAAACGAACCCGTACGCAACAATATTATGCGCACATTTTGCAATATGTTGTACTGAAACACTCCAAGCAAATGAAAGGTGAACCAGTGCAGTCTGCACAGTATGTCACAACATTTTTGGTTTTTTTGCGTTTAGCCTATCTAGGTTTTTTTTTTTTTTAATTTTTCCAGAGCACTCTTTATGAAAGCGTCCTATGGCCTTAGCTTTTTCTGACATTTGTTTAAAGTTCATGACATCCTGAGAGTTAATAAGTTCAGTAACTTGTATGTTGTAATTAATATTTCACCAAAATATTCAGCACATGAGAAATTCATTTTGGCCAGACAGGCAAACATGTGAAATTAGCAAGGCATTCAACGTGCTAAAGAAAGCATCCTTCCCATTAGGCTGTAAGCCGTCATGGTGATGTACCATAATCCAGTTTGTCCATCTAGTTTAAGGTTCTAAACATTTTTATCAAATGTAACATGTATGTTTATTTAAGCATGTTGTTTTAGATTCCACTGTCTCTGTTGTTTCTCTTTTAATTTCTTTCAGTTGTGCTTACTGATTAACACTTTATAATATTTTCGAAATTCTAACTTTACTTTTTTCTGCCCTTTCCCCCTTAATGCTAAATGTGTAGGAATAATTCTTGTGATTCGTATGATATTTTATATAAACAGTATTTTAATTTTTTTTCAGGAAAAAAAGCAAAAAAAGTTCAAAAAAGCATAAAAAGGAAAAGAAAGCTAAGAAATGCCACAAGGATTCAGATGATTCTGAATATTCATCTGATTCAGAACCAAGAATAAAATGTAAAAAGAGTAAGAGAAGTTTTGATACAAATGAATATGAATCATCAAAATCTAGAAAAAGTCCACCGAAGAGAGAAAAGGTCTACAGAAAACATCACTCACAAAGTTCTGAAAACTATTCTTATTCACATTCAAAAAGTAGGATTATTGAGAAGTCAAAACATAATTATACTAAAAGGCAGCGCCATGACAGTACTGATAGTGACTCATGAATATGAAAAAGGACACTATACTCATATGGTTTACAAGATAAATGCCACTTCAGGTGTGAACATTGTAATATCTCAGGGAAAAAGTTCTTCCTGATTTACATGATTATAAGACAAAATTTTATTGGAAATTTTATTGCTAAAAATAATATTTTTGAATGTAATGGAACTTGATATTTCATTTATATTTTGGGATTGAACTACCTTTAAATTAGAAGAGAATTTTTACACTCAGTGATAAGTTACTCAAAAAATATGAAAAACTTATTTTATAAGAATTAAAACAAATGTATAGTTTGTAAATAAAATATTTTAAATTTCTGTATTTCATTTTAATAAACTTAATTTTATTGTTTATTATATTTAATATCATCATGCAATTTGGATTTAATTGTTTAGTTTTTTATAATTGTATTCATAATTTCCTCAGGTATCTCTTTTAAACTACAGGAGCAATGCCTGTACACCAAATGAAATTGTTGCCAATATCTCTACTGATAAATTCTTTTTACCGCAGGCTGTGTTTAATACCAACTTCAAATCTTCCTTTTCTTGATATTTAATTTTTAATATTGCAAATTATATGGATCTTGCTAAAAATTTTGTTTATTCGTAGCTGTGAAGTGAGCTTATTTGTTAAGTTTTCTTGATCAACTTAAAGATAATTTTATATTGCATTATAAAGACTGTTTAGTATTATATGGGTTTACAGTACAGCCTTGATTACTCAAATGATCAATCAAGCAGACTTATTAAACTTTTTATACACATTATGGTGATGTTTCTGGGAAAAGTCTAGAAATAACACTTATGATGAATAAAATTATTCAAAGTCTTATATCCATCTACCCCTTTGCTTTCATAAATTAAATTCTTTGAGCTCTTGTTAACATTCTTGCAATTACTATTCCTGTGTTCAGCTATTTTACCCTGTTGCAACCTTTCACAGTCAAGACTTGTTTCTTCTTCTCAGCTTGCTTCAACAGTTGGACAAGTAGGCAAAGTCTGTTTGATGAATGTAATATTCCAAATTAAGGTATATAAACACAGATGGATTATGATATCATTGAAGACAATTATCTGTTATTTTAAAAAAATGAAGGGTAAGTGCATAAATTGGGAATTATGATACAGGGAAATCAACAATTTTGTGTGTTTGCTACCAGTATTATTTCTTTTTCCCATATTCATTTTATTAAAAGTACTTTTAATATCAAAATAAAATACTTAGAAATAAATTTCGGTGCTTACGAAAAATATCGTCGACCACAAGAGACGGTGCCAATCGTGCCAAACCAAAAAAGTCCGTTTACTAAATACAAGAAAAAATGTTCTATTCTTAGCTTCCTAAGAACAACATAACAAGTTGCATTCAAAATTCCTTTGACAAAAATGGACTGAGAACCATCTGACTTCAGAAGGTAGCCCAAATTGTAATTTCTTGAGGATATTTGATGTTCGTCATGCCCTTTGAGACAATCAGTTAAGAAACCTCATCAACCTTTTCACATAGGCACTTGAAAAGCAATCATCTGATAGTAAGGCACTTAAGAAGTTGTGTTTTTCTTCTCTTATTGTCATCTTTAAATAAAATGTGTTCTTTGTTTAAACAGTAATTGTCACCTTGTATATTTAGGGACATAAAAATTCTGTTGCTTTATGAAAACTATAATGGCCTATTATGGCCAAGCGGCAAGATCGCCAAATACTGGTAGTTTAATCCATTTACAATTACAAAAAATGATCTGGTTGTATGTGAGTTTTCATGGTTTTCAAATGTATAGCGTAAATACAGACCAGTTTCTCTTAAAAGTCTTCTCCAGGATGTTCCTTTAGGCAGGTAGCCATGTGCTTTGCCAAAATTCTTATAATCCAATCTGATCCAGAAATTATGATTGCAGTAAATGTAAATAATATTTGTGTGTAATTAGGATAACTGATATTTATTTTCAAATATTAAGAAATAAATAGTAACTTCTTAATTTTTGTCAATTTGTGTACAGCAGTGTGTATCTCCATGTTCTTATTATGGTTTTAAAAAGTAAATGCATTGGAAAGAATTATGTTGCAATGAGTTATGAACACTTGTGTGAGTTTACAGGGCACAGCTGTTGAAGGTTGAGAAATCTACAAACACTTCTTGAAAATCTGATTAAGTGCATATTTGAAAGTTTCAAAATGTGATACTTTTATAATAAAAACTTACACATTAAATAACATTTTAACACTTTACTATCAATATGATAGCTTACTAGTTAGAGCTAATTAGCACCAATAAACATTAAAACACAAAATGCAAGCATCTGTTACTGATTTGAAAAAAATCATCATCATATTTATACATAAAAATTAAGTATACAGAGGACTCACTTTTAATAGTAAATTGCTAGTTAACTTAAAGAATCCTTAGGGATTTTGTGAAGCAGGAGACATGAAAAGTGTGCAATGCTCTCGCCAGGACTTGAACCCTGGACATCTCAAATACGCTTCAAATAGGCTTCTAATTACACCATGATGGCATGTGGAAAGGAGGGAGATATTGTTTCCCTCTTAAAGGGCGATTGGGGATTAAGGGACCCATTCGCCAGATCCTGGTGGTGACGAATTATCGTCCAGCATTGTTTAGTTCAGGTACCACTTAAGGAGTTATTAGGTTATTTTTAAGCAGGAGACATGAAAAATGAGCAGTGTCCTTGCTGGGACTCTAACTCTGGACAAACCCAATTGCATCACAAAGGCATGCAGAAAAGAACAGATAAAATAAATTATAAGCTTAAAATTACAATTCAATGGCTAATTACATTAAGAAAGTTTGTTTAATTGAATATAGCAATACATGGCTATCTGTCAAAGGGAAAGAAGGATTTTCTAAGGAAACTGGTTTGAATTTTCATTACACATTAGGAAAAGTAAAAGAATACCCATGTAGCCAGGTTATTTGGTGGGATTTGTACTGGGCTGAGCTGCTAGCATTTTTCATTTTTATCTAATGAGTTGATTAACAATTAAGAAAGAAATAAACTACTTTCTGAAATATAATAAATTTGTCATTCCAACAGTTGCCTCATTAAGTATATACAAATTAAAGGTTAAATCTGAGTGGATTTTCATGATGTTAGATTAAAAAAAAGAAAATAAATGTATTCTAGAGCCCTTAATACTTTTTCATGCATCAGGATTTATTGCTGATTTTATTATACAGTGGAATTTTTTACTCTGGCCATCTCTGAAAGTAACTAGAATTCTTTTGACTATAATTTCCGATTATAGTAGTTGTTCTAAGGGAAAGACTTCCAGATGAGTCCAAATTTGTTTGAATGATGTGTTTGTTCTAGAGAGGTATACTGCATAATATTTTTCTGTTCTGTAGAAAATGAAATTCAAAAGGGCAAATAAGAGCAGCTGCACAGTGTTTATTAAAATTTACAGTAATGTGTAATAGCTGTGAGTGTCTGTTGTGGACACTACACACCTCCAAAAAAAAAAATTATCATGCAAAAAAACTGAAATGCATGGTACAAGAATAAAGCAGAAAGTTAACATTTTGAAGAGAAATTATTTGAGAATTAATTTATGTGATGATGATTTGTGCGGATAGTGAAATTATTGGTAAAGTCAAAAGCAGCCTTCAGTAGTTTTTGTGTGAAAACACATTTGAATTCTTAACAAGATGTTCCAAGATCATACTGTGCATATTCAGTGTGATAATATTATTAGGATGCATTTGCCTTGACATCCTCTGAATTTCTTTTGTCGTTGGTAGCATTTCATGCAAGCAAATTTCGGATTACTGCAAAATTTCTAACATATTTCATCATGATATATTCATGCCATGAAAGTATAATTGCTGAAGTTATGGATGTTTATGCAAAGCAATCGAAGTAGCTCTGTTCTATTCCATACCTCTACCAACCAAAAAGAGTGCTGGGTTAGTGTATTAGTGGCTTGATAAAATTTACAGTATTAGTAGCTTCAAGCTTCTGTTGATAATACATTGAAATGTCATTTTATTTGTGAAAAATATGCTACTAATACTGTAAATCAACTACAATCCAAATGATATTCTCTTAATATTGTTACCAATTGGGTCTCTGAAGTGTTGAGCAGCCTTTGCAATATACTTTGCCCATATTCCATCAATTGAACATAGTGATAAAGTGACCACATAATAGACCACAAACTGTTAGTCATACTTTGAAGATGAGATGAGTGAATCATTTATCTGAAGTAAAAAAAGATGAGATTCACAAAACAAAAATATTAGATATGAATGTAAATTTTGTAAAAATGTTTAGGCGTGCCGTGCAATTTTATGACTTACTTCAAATGTTCAAATCTGTCAACATGGCTGTTGTCTCCAAGCCTAAGAGCTATCTGCAGTGCAGTTTTTGAAATTTCCTTTCTCTGTAATCACAGAAATGTAGAAAAGGCACTGCAGTTTGCCTTAGCATCTGTTTAATATATGTAAATATATTTACTGTTCCTGATTTATGGGAGACGTTTCCCATGATTAAATCAGAATACTAGTTAATCCAGACAGTTAAAAAAAAAAAAAAAAAAAAAAAAAAAAAAAAAACAGAGAAAAGAGGTAAATTATGAAACCAGTGGTAAATTATGAAATTTTTATTAGCAAAAGGCTCACACTTTATATTATAAAAACAAAATGCCAAACTCTAATTAAATGTTTTACTTTTCCAAAAGTAGAAAATGCAATGCTTGATCAAGAAAAGATTTTAAAATGAAAAAGTCTTTATAAAGTTAAAAAATTACAAAGCCACATAATACCATAAAAATTATATAAAATGATGCATAAAATTAAGTATGAGGCATAATTTATACCAGAAGCAAAATGTATTATTATCATTTAATTATTTCACACTTATACTTTTCCATACATGCAAGTTCATCTTCTAGGGCAGTGGTCGGCAAAGTGCGGCTCCAGAGCCGCATGTGGCTCTTTGGCTCCTTAAGTGCGGCTCTAATACAAATAAACACGGAAGGTGCAATAATATTTTCATTTAAAAAAAAAACTTGGTAAGAAAAAAATTACATCTTTTTTGATAAATTAAAATTCTTCTATAAATCGAGAACATGTATAATTTCTTGTTTGAGTAAAAAGATAGATAGGTAATTAAAATTTTATATTGTTGTAAAAGTACGTAACGAACATCGAGTTTAATTTTATTAGTTTTCGTAAACGTAAGCATAAACCATGTACAAGCTACCGTCATGCGCGTGCATGCTTTTTATAAAGTAGTGAAGGTACAAATTGGCATCACAGAGCAGCAGTTGCAGTGTGGACAGTTTTGTCTTATCTAACG